TTTTGTGTTTTACCCAAAAAATCAATAAATCACCCAATAAATAATCCAAAAACAATAAAAAATTTCGGAAGCTCCAGCCTCTTCTCCTCGTCCGCCGGCAAAATCCAGTGAACAAGTAGTACAAATCGGTTTAAGCCGACCCGAATCATCCGGCCCCTTTATCCACCCTAAATTTTTTATTTCCCGCGAATGTTCCAGAGATTTCAAAATACCAAGATATTCCAATCACATTATTCTCAATGACTCCTCTAACCAAATAAAATAAATAATAATGCTCCCTACTGGCACCCGATATGACAAGAGAAAAGGAATTAGCGTCTCGACCCATTACAGCATTAAACTCAAATTAATTACAGATTCACTTATTTACAGAGAGAAACTAGTTAGAAGTTTCAATGACAAAACTTGAGGCTATTTGTCGAGAATCCTCACAGTTGTTACAGACAGTTGTATAACAAGGATCTCAAAGATTTCCTTATTGTCCCAGTGTTAACCAACAGATGCACCCGAAGTAGTCTATTTATTTCGCAGGTGTCAGTGAGATTTGTTAACTAAATAAAGAGTAAAAATTTCCAAATCCACAGCAGAGTACATCAACAAAATGATTAAACCGTCGGGATAAATGTTGTTAAATATTAGTCTCTGTATGCGAGGGATGGAGTGAAATTCAGAGGATTATAATTGTTGTTTTCGGTAGGAAAAACAAATAAAATATTTGGAGATGAAAAAAATGTTTATCCAATGGAGAATAGGGTATCGGTGGATAAATCCAACAGTTGTATGTCCACACTCTGATTACAGGCGCAAATGCAATTGCATATATAATTAAACGAGTGAGTTTACTCGTAACATTTGCAATTGCGATAGTGTCTGGTGCATTGTCACCTGTAGATGACATCGACTGGTTTTGTTATATCGGTAATGGTTATAGTTAATGTACAACCGTCTTTCCACTTGTCGCATCGATATTAACGGACATGCATTTACAGCTGCTCTATGTACAGATATATATGTGATACCGAGGGGTTGGTCTATGTATTATTCCCCTCCAGACAGTCCGATCTCTATTGTCTGTATTGAGATCAAAGGAAATCTTTTGTCTACTACAACCGGTGACT